GTTCGGCTGTGGTGAAGTAGTGGGCGACAGACGCCGAAGCGGCCGTCGTTGTGGCAGTGATGGAGGAAGAGGAGGAAGGGGAGGAGTGGGAGGTGGTAAGGTCGGTGGCGTCGATGTCGGCTGGGGCGTGGTTAGTGGGTGCATAAGGTGGTGGATTGGGAGTGGGGCTTGGCGGGTAGGGTGTGTCAAGGCTGCGGTCAATTCCGCTCTCGTGGATGCGCATGTGGCCGAATAGACCCATGCGATGCGTGAAGGTGCGAGGGCATTGTGGGCAGTGGAGGCGAGTGCGGTGGGTGTAGGTTGGTGCTCCAGGCACTGGTTCGCCAGTCTCTGTGCGATGGATTCGCAAGTGACCGACCAGGCCGATGTGTGAGGTGAAGGTGCGGTCACAGTGAGGGCAGGTTTAATCCTGATCCTCATCACTGGAATCGGGAGAGGTGGGAGAGGTGATGTCGGTTGTTGTGTTGGGGTTGGTGATGTGTGAGACGGCAGTCTGAACGGCCGCTGCTGGGGCAGTGGAGGAGAAGCAGGAGGATGGAAGTGGTGGTGAAGGAGGAGTGTCAGAGTTAGTTGGCGGCAGAGAGGACGAGGAAGAGGCGGGCGGGGGGACGATGGCTGGGGCAGTTCGAGAGGTGCAGTTGGTTCGAAGATGTCCAACAAGTCCGATTCGTGCCCGGAATGTCCGGTGGCATTGAGGACACGTAGGGAGAGGTTGTGCGGCGGCGTTGCGGACTGGGCGAAGTTGTGATTTGCGGGCTTCGCGTTTCACTTTGGCGGCTGCGATGCGGTTGGCTTCGTAGATAGCAGCGCCCGTCTTCACTGTTCTCCTCCATGTCGGGCTATCGCGAGCGAGCTCTTCCCAGTTGGTCGGGTTGATTTGCAGGCGCTTCAGGGAGGACTTCAGAGTATCCTTGTAACGGCGAATCTGGCCTCCTTGACGGCGAGAACCCGTCGCGACGTCTCCGTAGAAGAGTCGTTTGGGTAGTCGCTCGTCATCCATGCGCACCAGGTGGCCGCTCCAGCGCAGCTGCATTTGTCTCAGTATGGCGTAGATGCTGAGGATTCCCGTTCGTTCCAGTACTTCCGTGTCGGGGATTCGATCCTGCCAGTTCAGCCTCAGGATGCGACGAAGACAGCTGAGGTGGAAGTGGTTTAGTCGACGTGCCTCCCTCGTGTACACCGTCCAGGTCTCCGCTCCGTACAGTAGCGTCGGCAGGATGACGGCCTTGTACATCTTCAGCTTTGTGCTCAGTTGGAGACCGTGACGATTCCAAACTCTGCTTCGGAGGCGTCCGAAGGCTTGACTGGCTTTCGAGATCCTGTTGGCGACTTCGTCATCAATCTTGGTGTTGCGGGAGAGGGTACTGCCCAGATACGGGAAGTTCTCTACCACTTGCAGTTGAGTCCTATTCACGTTGATCTGCGGAGCGTTGGGGGCTGTGGCTGAGTTAAGAGGCGGCTGATGCATCACCACCGTCTTCTGCGTGTTGATAACCAGCCCAAAGTTCTCGCAGGCGGCGGAGAATAGGTCCATGCTCCGTTGCATCTCCGCTTCGGAGGTGGTGTTCAGGGCGCAGTCGTCGGCGAAGTGGAGTTCGTGCACGGTAGTTGTGGATACGCGCGATTGGAAGTTCATGCGCCGTTGATTCAGGAGATGACCGTCCGTTCTGTAGGCGATGCGGATTCCAGGGCGTTCGTCGCGGTAGGCGTCCATCAGCATGGCAGAGAAAATGAGACTGAAGAGGGTTGGTGCCAGCACACAGCCCTGCTTCACTCCATTGGTCACTGCGAATGCCTCTGAGACAGCTCCGTTGTCCGTGACTCGCGCCATCATGCCGTCGTGCAGCTGACGCACCATCTGAGTGAATCGC